GTGTGTGTGTGTCTGTGTCTGTGTCTGTGTCTGTGTCTGTAACTGTGGGTTTGGGTGGGTGGGTGGGTAGTATGTGCTTGTGTGTGTGTATTTGTGTGTTTCAGATTTTCGTCGGCTAGCTTATGACCCCTCTCTGACGACAATCATATATATAAGTTGTGGTTCGGTGTGAACTATCATAAGCGTTACATTCGATGTTGTTACGCAAATTCGAATGACGTAGTAAGATGGATTCCTGATGGAGTGCGGGAGCAACTCTTCTTTTAATATGCTGATGTCAATCTACAGAGCACAATAAAAATTGCTTTCACGTGCACAGTCCTGATCCCTCTAACTTTTCCCACAATTGTATATCCGGAAAAATAGTGGTCTACGCTTAACCTCCCCGGTTTCCGTGACTTCATCAAAAGTATCAGTAGCGAGGGCGATAGTGCAAACGTACATCAGCCGGACCAGAAGGTATTTTCTTGATTATGGACTCTAGAAGAAAGAAGGTACTCTTGGCTATATATGACGGTTAGAAGTACCTCCTTATCAAGATCAACGAGCTTGATTTTCATAAAGGTTTAAGATTGTTTTTGTGTATTGTTTTTAGAGAAAGCTTGTTTTGCAAGTTGAATCTTTATGCACTTCTATAAGTTACATAGTAGCTGTAAATTGTGTGACAACAATGTGCTAACATCCATTTCGCATCACGCTTTGTTGTAATCTAATTCCCCTTGCTATGCAGGCAAGGAAGCATCTCATAGACTCCGGGTTTGCGGATGGAGAGGACTCTGCTTTGCTCAAGCGGAATTACGTATCTGACACGACTGTAGTACCAACTAAATCCAGTGCTATTGAGGATGCAATAGGGACGGCCGATGCGGCTGAAAACGATGAGAAAATTAAGCAATTCATGAAAGACGGAAATCGATTCTGCATCGATTTGATGCCAAAGTTGCTGTTGTCCAGCAGTACGCTCGTCGAAGTATGAAGCAGGTTTGGAAATGTGACTCAAATGTTAAGCATTCTTCTCTTCAAGACATTCGATATAGATGAAATTTACGAGTAAACAAAAAAGCACTGTCCCTACACTACTGACAGCTGCTGATCCGATCAAAGGTTGGCGAGTATCTCGAATTCCGCCCATTGGAAGCAACGTGTGTGTACAGTGACGCCGCCATACAACAGGTGGGTGTGTGAGCGATGATATCGACGCCTCGATCGCACCTGTGCACTAGATTGGACACCCTCATGTGAAAAGTATCAGTCAATTTCCGTGCGCCGTTCCCTGCAATTCGGAGTCGCTATTCTTTTTTTTTCTTTTTTTACAAGAGCAAGCTATCCGCCCGTTGGTGTGCATATGGTTGCTTCCTGTACGCCGTGATGCGCTTATCCAACTAGTTGTTCTTACATACATACCTATAGCTATATGGTCATAGTGTAGCAGTTCACACGTATCGCCCATACAATCCGGGTCTGTTCACGCCCATACAGGTCCCCTGTTCACGGTCAGATATTTTCAAGACTAAGGCGGTGTCGCCCGTCGAAAAGCGATTCTTGATGCGATTTCTGAAAAACTGTATAGATCAAGAGCAGTACGCGACGGTCATTGCGAATCATTCAGATGATAAGGACATCCCCTTTACGCAGTTCTTGGCAACGAACAAACTGTCAGAGCGCTTGCAATCCTTCATATGCTACGCAATTGCAAACGCGGAGGACAAAGCTACTCTGTCCACGACTGCTGGACTAGAGCGGACTTCGCTTTTCTTGAAGTCTTTGGGGAGGTTTGGAAATTCACCCTATCTCTACCCGATTTATGGTGTTGCTGAGTTAGCCCAGGCGTTTTGCAGGTATTCTCTGCTTCGTGCTGTTATATAGGTGTGCATGAGTCCAAGATTCGGAAATGGCTTCTAGTGCACTTTTTGAAGTGATACTAAGTATGCATCTGTTATCCTAATTATGTTCACATATACGTGATATAACAAAGTTATGCGTGTATAATATGTTATTTTATCTACTAGATACACCACATCTATCCTTGAATTGTTTGTCTTGTGTGTGATTTTCTAATATTTATAACACCTTATGACTTATCCAAAGCCCAGCCAAAACTTTGTTAGTCTAAATTTCTTCCATATCACACCTATCCTGGATCCATGTGTGATGATGCTTGTACATAAATTTGGTCGAGCTAGTTCCGGACGTGGCCCAGTGGCACTTTCGATCTCCACAAAAAAACTATTGGTACGTTGCAAACAACATGCAATGAACTGGAATTTTCTATAGAACTGATCGAACCGACCTCGTCAATATCGACACGCATGGACCAAAAATGTTCTATGAAATATGTGCTGACATAGAGATGGAACTCTCGTTCCAAATTTGCACCCTCCAGAAATTGCGCTGTATTCGGTGGAGTGTACATATTGGATAAAGTACCTAAGTCGGTAAACACAGCTATCGACGATGGTATCGACGCGCCGTCGACTGAAGGTCACCCGAAGCTAGTCTCGAGTGTGACGTTCGATGACGCAACGACCAAATGTGGCGCTCTGATTGTAGGACCCGCCTACCGCGATGCACTATGCCAGTCCACGAATCTGCCTGAGTCCAGGTAAGATGCGGTTCAAGTAGTACTTTCAAATATGTAATATTCAAGCGAGAACACGGTCAATTCGATTTTTAAAATCAGAGAAAGATGATTGGAGCCAGCGCTGTTGACTTCGTGTAGCCCCATGCATTGTGCAGTCTAATGATTTGACCACCACGTGGCGATACGCCTGTTCAACACTTGTGCTTATATTGGCTGGACGCCCATTCTAGAGAACCCGCACGATCGAGTCCGAACCCCTGTCGCTTTCGCCGCTCAGACCTAGTAGGTTTGATCTCAGAATTCACTCCTAATATTTCTAGCGACTCCCG